AGAAAAGCCAGCATCATGACAAACAGGCCACAGATTCAGCAGCCAGGCTGCAGGAGGACTTCACTTCTGAAATGATAGGTTCTTCTTACATTCCTTATCATCTGTCCATTCTTATTTTCAAAGCTCCAGACAGTCCATAAAGGTTTGGTAGGAAAGAACATGGAGCTGAAGTCTATCAAGAAGTATTGGTGTCCTATAAACAAGCAACCCGTTCCAGCTCAGAAATGGTTGAATGAAATGGATGATTTTGGAAGCTGAAGCCAAGTGACAAGTCAGCAGAAGATACAGTAAACACAAACAGCTGTTATCTTTTCTCTAGAATATCAACTCACTAGCAGGACAGTGAAAATTCTCCTAACTCCCTGTAGGAGGGTGTGGTGTCTGGACAAGATGGCCCCCATAGGCTTATATGTTTAAATGCTTGATTCCCAGTTAGTGGAACTATTTAGGAAGGATTAGGAGGTGTGGCTTTCTTGAAGGAGGTGTGTCACTGGGAGTGGGCTTTGAGGTTTCAAAAGCCCAAGCCAGGCCTAGCCTCTCTCTTGCCATATTTCTGCCTCCTGCTTGTAGATCAGGATGCAAGCTCTCAGTTTCTGCTCTAGCATCATGCCTACTTGCCACCATGCTGATTATGGACTAACTCTCTGAAACCATAAGCAAATGCCCAATTAAATGCTTCCTTGTATGAGTTGCCTTGGTCATGGTGTCTCATCACAGCACTAGAACAGTGACTAAGAGAGAAGCTGATACCAGGGACTGAGGTATTACCGTGATGGGCCTGACCATGCTATTTGGAGGATTATTAATACTTGGAACTTTGGACTAGAAATTTGATTGAATGCTGCAATGTTAATGGGCTGTCCTAGTAGGAACTTGGAAGACAGTAGTGTTGAGAGCAAATATAGAGGCCCAACTGAAGAGGTTTCAGATGATAACAATATTAGTGGCTAGAGTACAGACCATTCTTGTTGAATTGTGGCAAGGAATGTGGATGCTTTATGCTCTTGTCCTAAAAGTCTGCTGGAGACAAAATGGAAGAGCTTTAGGCTACTGTCATTAGCAGTGGAGTTTTCGAGACAGCCTAGTATTGACTGTGTCGTGTGGTTATTAACGTCACTCTTATGCAAATCTATAATGAAAAAGAGCAAGCACGGCAAAAAGAAATACAAAACACACGGTTTGAAAAGAAAAAGAGAACCAGGAAATGTAACGTAATGCTGGATCCCAGTCTTGTACTCAAGGAAATGAGAAGTTTAAAAGAAAGGCCAGATGCTTAGTGGAATAAATAGAGTGGTGCCCTCAGGACAAGACCCCACCCAGCTAAGCTTGTGAAAAGAACAGGCCTAAGGAGTTATTTGTTCCTAAAGAGCTACAACAAAGAAAATTCTGTGCAAATATAACTTAGGGTTAGGGCAGTTTCCAGCTCCAGTAAGCAGCTAAACTTGGCCATTGCAGCTACATAGTTCTGGAATTAAGAGTGCAGGTGTAAAGGGGTCGTGGAATCTTCCTCCATGGTTACATAGGCCATGTGGTAGGGGAGTCCCTGACTGGGGACCAAAGAGGCCACTGTGTGAAGCTGTGAAGGTGAACTCTGGATTTCACTGGAGATCCATGGGATATCTGCAAGGAGAGCTGCATAGAGGGTGTTGAACCAGCCCCAGAAAAAAGGGGTATTGCAGTCAACAAAGCTGGAAAGAGTGGGAGAACCAGAGCTGTCAAACTCTTTGACATCAGACATGGAGCTCCAAGATTTGGAGTTTGCCCTGCTGGGTTTCAGTCTTGCTTTGGTCCAGTATATCCTCAATATGACTTCTTTTTTTTCCTCTTGGGGGGGGGTGGTTTACAATTAAGAGATCATCTTGAGTCTCAGAAGAAACTTTGGCCTTTTTTTTTCCCCTGAGACAGTGTTTTTCTGTGTAGCCCTAGCAGACCAGGCTGGCCTCAAACTTATAAAGATCGGCCTGACTCTGCCTCCCAGGTGCTGGTATTAAAGGCATGTGCCAACACCACCCAGTGAGACTTTGGACCTTAAACAGGTATAAGACTGTGAAAGACCTCAGGGTCTTTGAAGATTGACCTAACACACTTTGCATTATGACAGGGATACAAGTCTATGGGGACCAGGAAGTGTAATGTGGTGGTTTGAATAATAATGGCCCCAGAAGTTCATATATTTGAATGTTTGGTACCCATTTGGTGGATTGTTTGGTAAGAATTGGAGATGCCGCCTTGTCGTCGAAGGTGTGGCCTTGTCCAAGGAGAAATGTCACTAGGGGTGGGCTTTGAGGTTCCAAAAGCCTGTGCCAGGCCCAGCCTCTGCCTCCTGCCTATAGATCAGCTCTCAGCTGCTGCTCCAGTATCTGCCTGCTTCCCGCCATGCTTCCCGCCATGATTATGGAAACTCTGGAACTGTAGCAAGCCCCCAATCAAATGCTTCCTTTTATAAATTGCCTTGGTCACAGTGTCTCTTCGCAGCAATGAACTAGAAATTAAGATTGTTACCAATGGGATTATAACCAAGGGAACCATCATGAGCCCAGAATTAAGCATCACTTAAGAACTAAGGCCTGGTTGTTTAAGACACAGTGTAAAGCATGCTTCCCTTTTACTGGTCTCTGTTACTAATTCTTACTGCTCATTAAGAGGCAGAGCATCACTAGAGTAGACTTATCAACCAGGAGTATTTTTTCGGGTAGTCTCTCTTTGTGGAGCTCTTGGAACAGCTAACCTGTTTTGTGAAAGGCTGGCAGCATATGCTGGAGATTGGCTCAGCAGGAAGAGTCACTTGCTGCCAGCCAGCGGTTGATCCCCGAGACACACAGTGGAAGGAGAGAACAGATTGCCAAAAGCTGACTTCTACACAAGAGTCATGGTGCATGTGCACACACTTGCATGCATGTGCACACACACACTAAATCAAATTAGTTTTTTTAAAAAAAGATGGCATGGTACTCTTTCCTCCAGAAGTCCCCAGCTACTATCATTTCTTCAGAAACCACTTGGTTCAGCTATCAGGTTACGTAAACAGAATAATACCCTGGTATAAGATCTAAAGTCCCAGGAGAAGAGGCTACCTCCTTTAAGTACTGAGAGCACGATGCCTTGTAGGAGGATGGGCGCAGGTCCCCAAACATCATTACCCACTTTAACACACATTTTAGAGTACGAATTATGACAGTTTGAAAAAGCTAAGAATATATTACTTTGACCATAAGGACTGTTTGTGTAGAAGTAATTATGGAGAGAATGGGATGGCCTTAAAAATCAATCTGGCTGCTTCATCTCCTCAGGCGAGAATTAATTTGGCCTGCTAGTGGTGATGAGCTGGCTGGCTCTGCTGCTGTTCTGCATAGCTAAGCATCAGACATGGAAACGGCAGTGTCAACTTTTTGCAAATTAGCACTGTCTATTGATGACACATGATAGTCTTTTCCTCTACGGCTAGCTGTTCAATACTCAAGGAGTATATCACAGATACACATGACTATTGTTTTTGCTCTGATAGGAGGACAAAGTTTGGCTTTGGGCTTCCAAATTCTTTCTCCCTCCACGCCCCACACCATGCACACATTTTCTTTAAAGCTCTAGAAGAGTCTTGAAGAGGAAAACCAGATCAGTTCTCTCAGAACGTCTCCTCTCCTTCAATCTGACAGCTGAGATTCAAACAGTGTGTTTACAGCAGACCACCGCCTCGGAGGCAGGAAGGCACACTGTTCTACCAATCAAGCCAGGAACCTATATTACCTAGCGGCCCAAACAGCCTGTGCTTTAGGGTTCTATCTGACCCCCTCCAGGTTGTAAAATGCAGATGCTGGCACCACTTGCAGGCCCAACCAGGAGCCAGGAAAGAAGTGCACCTCTGGTGAGGGTACCCCACATGGGCTTGGTTTCCTGAGTCCATGTCTCCCTCCCTCCCTCCCTCCCTCCCTCCCTCCCTCCCTCCCTCCCTTCCTTTCTTCCTTCCTTCCTCTTCTTCTGAGAGCAGGGTGGGGTGGGGGGATTCTGAGAAGCCTCTGAAGTGGTACTTACCCATCTATTCATTTTTTTTCTTCTGGAGAATGTTTACAGCTTCCAAAAGAATCTCAGTGAACTCCCTGCCTCTGACCAGGCTAATAATACCCAGAGGACACCCTCACTGTCAGTTGCTAAGTCCTCTATACTACATAGTTTTTTAACAGATGGTGTTCTACCCTCAGGCAAGAAAAAAGTCAAAATATTATCATTGGTGGGCTGTTTGTGTTCAGCAATGTTGCAGCAATAAATCTCAATAATGATGCTAAATTGTAAATTATCATCTGGGTTTTATAAACATATTAAATGTGGTGGTTATAAAAGGGGCTTTTCTTATAAAGTAACAAAAGACACTTTTACTGCATCATCAACTTGCTACTTAAATAAATAATAAAGGAGCAACCAAACAGTTCTGTCTGTCCTGAGATTTAGAAGCCTGGGTTTCTTTTACCCACCCCTCCCCAAATACGAGGGATCACCATGATTCAGTCACTCCTAAAATGACTGTTGACTTTGTCTTTCAGGGTTTGGTCCTGTGGTTGGAGTGCTAACCGCAACCCCAACCCTGAGAAGCCTGAAGGCGGCAGCAGCCTCCCTGGGGGATGACGTCATGACAACAGTCAGCACAGAGAGAACCTAAAGCCCCTGTAAAGACGCTTAGCAGAGGGCTGGACATTTGCTCAGTTGGTAGAATTCTTGGCCAACACACATGAAGGCCCAGTAAACCAGGTGTGACATCCTACACTTGTAAGTCCAGTATTAGAGAGATGGAACAGAAGGAGAAGTTCAAAGTCATCCTAGCCATGCATAGTGAGTTTGGGGCCAGCCTGGGCTACGAGAGACCCTGTGTCAATTAGCAGAGAAAGGAGTTGGGCTGTGTCTCTCCTGTTGGTTTTCTGTTCTCTGGAAAATTGTGAAACATGCCTCTGAAACCTTTACCCAAGATGGGCCCTTCTGCTCAAAAGCAGGAGCCCAGGAAGGTTACTTACCAGACGCAGGTGGCTGGTCACTGGGGGAATTCCCAGACCCTGAGGCTCCCCTCTCCGAGCTTGGAAGCTTTACATCAGCCCTGTCCTGGAGCTGCTCTCCCGCCTCTGCCACACTGGCGGCTGCTTCGCCGGGAAGGCCCATGCTGTAGGCACACTGGGGCAATGGTCCACATTTCAGAGAACCCATTAGGGGCTCATGGTCCTCCCCAGGAGTGTTCCCACAGCCTGTGTAGCCATCTGTTGAGCTGGAGCTGGCCACCCAGGGCAGGCAACTGTCACCCTCTATTTCTTTTTTCAAGTACTTTTCAGAGGACGAAGGAGTACAATCAGTCCTACATGGAGGCTCAATGAAGCTGCAGCCTTCTGAATCAGCCGTGCTCTCAGTCCCTGTGAAACACTGGCTTAAGCTGTCATTCTCCCCCACTTCCAGAGGCTCCTGGAAAGCGGGTGTGGATCTGCTTCCAGGCTGGATCAGGAACAGGGAACCATCGGGCAGCTGTGAGGGCCGGTCTGTGTACTCATCCTCTGTGGGAATCTTCCTTGAGAGGTCCCCCTGGGTCTCAACTTCGCTGACCAATGTGAACATCCTGGCATCTCCACCCTCTGCACAGGACCCGCCTGCTGCACACACAGGCCCACAGACCCCAGGACCATCTTCCAGACAGCACATGTTTTCTGGAAGCATCTTCTCCTCCAGAGACATTAGCAAGCCGCCTTCACACACTTCTCGTTGACTGGAGGTTGCTGAGTGGGCACCAACACAACAGTCACCTGAGGACTCCTGGGGGTGTGAATTCAGAATATCCAGAGTTATTACAACATGGTTGCCTGACCACTGCTGAAAAGTGTTGATATGAACAGTTTCCACCTTGACAAGTACAGGTGGCCCATACTCTATGGATTTATTTATGCTGTTTAAAATTACAGAGTATGAGAGAAGTCTAGAAAGGACACAAACAGAAATGACTGGATCTCGACTGAGATGAACAGTATCTGCACACGAGACAAGAGAAGAGATAATCCAAGTAACACCTGAACACATCTGTCTGTGACAAAACAATGACAACATGCCCAGGTGCCGGATTCCAGTCAGTGGCTCGGTTTGTAGTGTGGTTTAGTTCTGCGTGTTCTACAATTGGGCGAACAAGCAAGCTTATCAGGATGAGAGGACTCAGGTGTAATGCTGGGAAGGGAAGATCCAAGCAGGAAAGGGAGAGCTTGTTGACATTCTGGCCCTCCCACTGGGGACCTGCCCTGCGTCCTGATGTAAATCCTCCTTTGAGGACAAACCGCTCCCTTCATCCTCCTCTCCTCCTTCCCCCCTTTCTCACCGTGAGGTGTGCACACTTCTGCTTTCCCTCCTTCTCCTTCTTCTTCTCTCCCTCTTTCCCTTCCTCACCCTTTCTCTCCCTCTATTATGATAAACTTCCACGTGGATGCCGTGCCTGGGGTGTGAGTAGCTTCCCACCGTGCCACGCCACCCACCCACCGCTCTGCATGGTGTGTTTCCCTCTCCCGCCCTCCCTCATCCACCAGGGCACCTCGGCCCAACCCACCAAGACCTCCCACACACCCTATCATTGCAGAGATGAGAGCGGACCCTGTGGAACTGGAGCTGAATTATAGAAACCAGTCTAAGGTCTGCAGTTGATATATTTTATACTTATAACAGATGTAAAGGACAAACTAGAATAATTAGCATTTTAATATCAAATGTGGATTGGAAAATAGTTAAGTCACTGTTCAGTTTTTGTTGTTTAGTTTTGGACTTTTGAGACAGGGTCTTATGTAACTGAGGCTGGCCTTATTGGGGAGTATAGGATGACTCTGAACTTCTGATCCTCCTGCCTCTACCTCCCCGGTGCCTGGATTATAGACAAGTTTATTCTCTGCTGGCAGTCAACTCAGGGTTTTGTGCCTGCTAGGCTAGCACTTCACTTTTTCAACTGAGCTACACGCTCAGTGCCACATTTGAATGAATGTATATATTCATTCATTCATTTATTTATTTACTTACTTTAGAGGAGAGAGTGAGTGGAACAGGAGCATTCATTGCTTTCTTCTTTTTAAAAAGATTTATTAAATCTGAGTCTAGTTATCCTAACTGGCCGGAAAAGGGCATGGAATCCCTTTGAGCTACAGTTGTGGGCTGTAACCACTGTGGTTGTGAGCTGCCTAGCATGAGTGCTGAGAACTGAATTTAGGTCCTCTGGAAGAGAAGGACATGCTCTAAACCACTGAGCCATCGCTCCAGTCTGTTTTGGTTTTGTTATTTTTTCATTTTGGTAAGTTTACTGTTGGACAAAGACTATTTATTCTTAAGGAATGTACATTTAGATATTTAGGAACAGAGGAATACAGCATCTCCATTCACTCTAAAATAATTCCAGACACACTTGATTCACATACAGAATAGATCCCTGTGATAAAGTGTAAGCTACTGATGGATTTGGGCATCAGGCATCAGACCTTTCACTGCAATAGTCTTAATATTTTTCAATAATTTTTGAAATTATGACAAAGGAGAAGATTAATTAAATAACTACAGAGTAAAAGCAAATCATAGATGCTTCTTCCTAGGAATCTGCCTAGGTGATCAAGGTCAGTTGTAAAAATACATGCACAGAGACAACAGAATTGGAATAAAGACCATTCAGTGTCCAGCCTGGGGTCAGGGAAGGGGTGGGAATGGGGCGTGATGAAGACAAGGGGCGCTGACTTATTCAACAGGGATCGGTTCTGGATGGAGGTTTCACTGCCTGGTAGGCAGTGTGCTCCACAGTCAGTCAGTTACAGCTCTGGAGACCACAGCAGGACTTGGAGGAGGCAGTAAACACGTTCACCTTATTTCCACTTAGGCTGCTGCAAGCGTCATTGACCCAGTTCCACAAATTAGCTGGAAAAAAAAGCAAAGATAAGAACTTCATGTGATGATTTCTACTTACTTTAATATAAATTCTAATTTTAGATATTTAACTTATACAGCATGATGTTATAAGGTAAATATAGATGGCACAGTGGTCACTACAACAAAACAGATTAACTTATCCATCACGTCACATGGTGATTTGCATGTGGCAAGAAGAGCTAAAATCAATTCCATTAGCAAACCTTCTCATCAGCACAGTTCTCTTCTCTGGGTGTGTTTATCCTACACATCTGCTACTGCAGCCTTTGACCGACCTCCCCCGTTTCCTTCCTCCTGCCCTGCTCATCACTGCTTCATTCTCTTCTCCTGTGTATTTGACTTTCTCCCATTTTAGATAATTCTATATAAACATACCCTCTCTAAGTGTAACGGTAAGGTATTAACATTCCTGAGCCAAAGTAATTGATTATAATTCACCCAGGGCTGGGGTGAAGCTCCGAGGCAGAAAGCTTGTCTGGCATGCACAAAGCTCTGGGGTCCACCCTCAGCGCGGGGGTGCAACAGGACTAGTATATGGCTCAGTGGTACAGTACTTGCTTAACAAAAGCAAAGACCTGGGTTCGATCTCCAGCACAGGACTGGGAGTCAACCACACAATTAATAAATTAACTGATTTAAATGCTCTGAAGGCATCTTACTTTTGAACAAAAGCAGAACTTGCTGATCTCTAGAGAGAAAAACCCTGTTAAAGTTGCCAACTTGACACAAACCTAAGCACCTAGGAAGAGGGGCCTTCAACTGGAGGAACTGTCTCCATCAGACTGGCCTGTGGACTGTCTGAGGGACACTTCCTTGATTGCTGATTGATGTGGGAGGAAGGGCCCAGTCTATTGTGAGCAATGCCATCCCTGGGCAGGAGGGCCTGGGCTGTCTAAGACAGGTAGTTGAGGAGATGGAAAGATTGCTCTGCAGTTAAGAACACTGTCTGCTCTTCCAGATGACTCGGGTTCAATTCCCATCACCTACATGTAGGCTCACAATCATCTGTACCTCTAGCCCCACAGGATCCAATGCCTTCTTCTGGCTTCTGAGGGTAGCAGGCATGCATGTGGTGCACAGACTTACACGTAGACCAAACACCCATGCACATAAAATAAATTTTAAAAGATGTTAAAAAGAAAGATAGCTGAGCAAGCCATGGGAAACAAGCCAGTAAGCAGCACTCCTCCATGGCCTCTGCTTCAGTTCTGCCTCCAGGTTCCTGGCATGAGCTCCTGCCCCGATTTCTGGAAAGTGTAAGATGTAAAGACAAGCAAACAAACGCCTCTTCCTTCTACGTTACTTTTGGTCATGGTGTTTATCATAGCAACAGAAGCTAAACTAGACCCGTGAATACTCCATCGAATACCTATGGATACAGCTGGGTCTGCCATGATGCTGTTAGACTACAGGCATTCTCATTCCCTTCGAAATGTTATTGTGCACTTGAGAAGCAAAATAACCAAGAGGGGGATGAAGAAGGTGTATCTGTGACAATAATATGCAAAGATAAAGTTTTATTCCATAACTCATGAAAATCCAACGTTTTCTTTACTATGAACATGGAAGTCAGGAGCTGTAGATTCTTGTGGTTTTGTTTTTGCTTGAATGTGATGTGCATGTATGTATGTAGGCTTGCATGTATGTGTGCTGTGCATGCATGTGCATACGCATGTCCATAGGTGTGTGCCTGTTCATGGTGTGCCTGTTCGTGGTGTGTGTGTGTGTGTGTGTGTGTGTGTGTGTGTGTGTGTGTGTGTGTGTTTGACACAAGGCATCTTCATGAGTCACTCTCCACCTTATACATTGAAGCAGGATATCTCACTTAAACCCAAGGCTCACTAGAACAGATAATCTAGCTAGCCAGCTTGCTCAAGGGATGCCCTTCTAATCTCCGCAGCCTCAAGTGCTGGGATCACAGGCGGGAAGTGAGGAAGCACACTTCACAGGACAACCTGTGAATAATTCCTACTATATACTTTGACAAAGTGTGGATTCTCCATTTTCTTCAAGCTTCCTCCACTGATTCATTGTCTGAACCTCTGGATTACAAACCCTTGGCTTCTGTGGACTTGAACTTCTCTCTCCCCTTCTCTTCTGTTCCTATTCCCTCTCCCCCCTCCACAAACTTACATTGTCTTTCTCCTCCTATCTTTCTTCTCCCTACCCCCATCAACCAAGGCTGAGGATCACACCCAAGGCTTTTCTTATGCTAGGCAAGCACTTTACTACTGGGCTATAGCCCCTGGACTTTTGGTTTTAAACACAGGATCTCCCTATGTTGCCCAGGCTGGCCTTGAACCTCTCCTGCCTCTGCCCTCTGAGCACCAAGACTGCAAGTGTGTGGCTCAAAAAGGTATGTTTTGCTTGTTGAACCTCAGTTTGACCCCAAAACACACTTAAAGGTGAAAAGAGAGAACCAACTCCACAAAATTGTCCTTTGGCTTCCACATGTGTGTCATGGCACATGCACCCTACATACATCATGAACACACAATAAGCAAAAGCTTTAAAGATGATTATGATACATCTGAAAAAAAACTAAGCAAGTCTGGCATCCCTTCACTAAAAAGCACACTTCTTTTAGCAGTGTCATATAAAAGTCAAACATGATGTGATGTTTAAAACACTATCTACCTTTTTGCAGATATCCCCAAGAAATGAAGTAACATTGGTTTCTCTATTTTAAAAAAAAAAAACCTAAATTCCAAAAATACAAAGTCATCTATTTTCATAATTTTAGATTCACATTTCAAAACAGTACTCCAATCAAAACTCCCCCATCTAGCCATTTATCTGAGCATTTGTCTGTAGTGGATGGGTGCATCCACAGGGGACACTACAGGGGTGACGATAAGCCCCAGTGTGTCAGTGATGCACAGAGATACAGTGTGGGCTACCAGCAGTGACACAGGAGCAATTTCAGAAAGGCCGAATGTTGTTTACCCATTCACAAACAGACACAATGTCGTCCTTTGGTTCTGGTCATTATTGTTGCTAGATGAGAACAAAGACTCAGACACAAAGGTGTTTATCTTAGGGTGCAAATATACTTTACTTGATGAACCCGTTTGACCCCCAAAACTCACTTAAAGGTCAAATTCCACCAAGTTTCTCTCTGACCTCTACATGTCCATTGTGGCTCACACACCCACGCATACATCATGGATACACATAATAATCAAAAATGTTATTTTATTTTTATGTGCATTGGTGTTTTGCCTGCATATTTGTCTGCGTGAGGGTGTCAGGTTCCCTGGAACTGGAGTTAAGACAGTTGTGAGCTACCATGTGGTGGGTGCTGGGAACTGAACCCAGGTCCTCAGGAAGAGCCACCAATGCTCTTAACCACTGAGCTACCACCCTAGTCTCACAAGCGAGAGATTTAAAAAGCAGATTCCATGACAGTCAGGGACAATATGCTCGTCTCCTATGATGCCTTCGTGGAGAGTACTCGTATTCTCCCAGGCCACCCTTCAGATGCCACCGTGGACACAATACCTGTCAGCGCTTTCCCTCCCTTCCGGTAGTAAACACCAAGGGCGACGGCAGCGACTAGCACCACAGAGACGAAGAGGAGCAGAATGATGAGACTGGGCAAGTAAACCTGGACTTCTGTGGGGAGAAAACACAGTGTGAAGATCATTTCATTTCACCAAGTTAAAAGATGATAAAGTCCTGTAAATCCATCCCAAGAACCAAGGATGTGGGTGTCTAGGTAACCAGAAGTGGAGAGCTCTCAACCTGGAAGTGCAGAGAGGTCCCAGCTGTTAGAGGACACTCTTCAAAGCTTAACCCACCCTGCTCAGGGGCCTCCCCTCCAGGTGAGGCCAGCCCAGGCCCACCGTCCTATCTCTGCTTGAGAATAAGTTGAATGCCATCCACCACGCTGGCTCATCCTGGTTCATCTCTCTGAGTCTGTCATTCACCACCTACTCTTCTTGTTCACAGCCTTATTGTTGTTCTGTGACCTGGTTCTCTGCATGTCAGAGAAAGGTCTTTCCCCAGGCTGCTTGCTTCTGAGGTGCAGTCCACCACAGGGCCACTCACCTAAAGCAGCCAGATCGAAGCCTCTGCTAGCCAGTGGCTTTCTGTCAAGCTTTCAAAACCATATTTAGATTAGCTTGATCTACAAATGCTCACAGATAATCACAGCCAGATCTAACAAGTGGCTTTATTTGGCTTGATCAAAATCTCCACATGGCAGCTCACAACTGTCTGCAACTCCAGTAGAAGAGGATCCTATGCCCTCTTCTGGCCTCCTTGAGCAATGCACACAGGTGGTGCACATAGATGGAGTCAACATATCCATACACATAAAATAAAAAGAGAATAAATATTTTAAGCAAATAAACTGCTGATGAAAAACAAAAAATAATACCAAGACAATCGTGGACAGAATGAATTGAAAAACGAATCCCTGTGACCACAGCTTGTCATTCTGGAGAGACCACCCCAGGGCCATGTGCCACCCCACAGCAGCTTGTCATTCTAGAGAGACCACCCCAGGGCCATGTGCCACCCCACAGGTATGCTTGCCATACCCTGGGGTGGTTTTCTCAATGTCAGAGAAGAGCTGCAGACCACATCAGATTTCTTCGTCCCTGGGTGTGCTTCTATCCTTCCAAGGAGGGTACAGCTGTGAGGAAAAAGCAGGCAATGGCTGTGGATAAATACTTTTGATTTTAAAAACCAAACGAAGGAAATGTCATACTGAGCTAGACTGGCAGCTCCTTCAGGAAGGGAAGCCATATCTGTCTGGATGCTTGAATCCCACCTTGCCATGGGGAGCAGAAGCCCTCAGAGGTGGATGGAGTGCTTGGGGAACACTCCAAGAACTACTGAGAACACCGTGGGCAAGAGTGAAGAAGGAACTTCAGTAAACAGGACTTCAAGTGCGGACAGAGTTTTGATGAGTGCAATTCTGAAGATGAAAAATACCATCTTCTCAACACAAAACCTGAATAAAACGCATTGGGAAACAGTGTTTAGTAAGAACCTACTGAGCCACATGTGGTGGTATACACTGTGATCCTGACAGTCGGGGTACTAGGAGGCATAATGAGACCCTGTCTGAAAACAGTGAGTGATGAACAGGAGAAGCAGATGCAGCTTGTGGGATGGGTAATGTGAGCTTTTTAAAAATAAAGAATATATTTGGAACTGAAGACTCATTGCACTTATCACTAGTATTAGACACCAGGATGCAAAGAAAAGCCTAGGAGCTTGTTCCATGTAACTCATGGGAGGTGCTATACTATACGTTAGTCAAGCGTCCCTAACCAAAATCCAACAGTCAAAATGGGCAAGTTTTAGAACACTGACATGAAATCTCAATTAGGAAATCAGACATCATGAAACTTTGTTGCACTCACAAAAATAATTTAGAGTGTGTAACTGTCTTCGGGTTCTGTGTATAAGGTATACATGAGAGACAAAACAATGCTGTGTTTAGACCTGGCATCCTTCCCCCAAAGTTCTCAGTACACATCTAAAAGTATGCCAGAACCTGAAATAAATCTGAAACATTTCCCAAGCATTTGGGTAAGGGATGCTCAGTCTGTATACCACACTATCTCTACAAAGCTTATCTCGGCAGAAAACTCAGAACTGTTTACATGGCCGTCAGTAGGAACTTAGTAAGGAGGTGGTGGTACGTTTCCCCAGTGAGGTACCCGGCGGCTGTAAGAAGTCACAGAGATTCCCATTTCAGTGTAGGAAAAAATCATCAGGTAACTTCGTATGTGCAAAGCCCTGGGTTCCTCCTCAGCAGCAAAAATAATAAATAAACTGGAAATTAAAATATCGATGAAACAGGATGATCATGGATGGGATAAAATCAAAGGCGCAGATGGACTTCTGTTATTTGGCTTGTAAAGAGCTTCAGGATTGTACAAGAAAATCCAAAGCATTTACAGCGTGCACACACTTACACAGACAGGGGCCACCTATATGCACACACTTCCAGATGAGCAAGCCGGTGATGATGGGAAGTAGGAGTGGTGAGTGACAGACGATACATGGCTTAACTCAAGCTGGGGACATAGCTCAGTCACAGAGGATATGCCCAGCATATCTGGAGGCCTTACGTTCCACCTGCAGCAGCCCACCCCTGCCCCAGACAGAGAAGACATAAACAACTTTCAACTAAATAAAGTTAGGTAAAGGAAAAAGAAGCTGGAATTGAAGGCCATATATTTCTGAATCTAAGAAGTGGCACAAAGCTCTGACACATGCCGGGTCCAACTGCGGACTTGCCAGACTCACTCCATACTACGCCATGGACAGACTTTCCAAGAGGAGGCTAACCTGATACACTCAACCCACCTTCCGCCCGGAGCTGCTGAGGCTGAACCGTCCAAACCCGCCTTCCACCAAGAGCTGCTAAGGCTGACCCGTCCAAACCCGCCTTCCACTCGGAGCTGCTGAGGCTGACCAGTCCAAACCCGCCTTCAACCCAGAGCTGCTGAGGGTGACCAGTCCAAACCCGCCTTCCACCCAGAGCTGCTGAGGGTGACCCATCCAAACCCGCCTTCCACCCGGAGCTGCTGAGGGTGACCCGTCCAAACCCGCCTTCCACCCGGAGCTGCTGAGGCTGAACTGTCCAAACCTGCCTTCCACCCAGAGCTGCTGAGGGTGACCCGTCCAAACCCGCCTTCCACCCAGAGCTGCTGAGGGTGACCAGTCCAAACCCGCCTTCCACCCGGAGCTGCTGAGGCTGACCAGTCCAAACCTGCCTTCCACCCGGAGCTGCTGAGGCTGACCAGTCCAAACCCGCCTTCAACCCAGAGCGGCTGAGGGTGACCCGTCCAAACCCGCCTTCCACCCGGAGCTGCTGAGGCTGACCCGTCCAAACCCGCCTTCCACCCGGAGCTGCTGAGGGTGACCAGTCCAAACCCGCCTTCCACCCGGAGCTGCTGAGGTGACCCGTTCAAACCCGCCTTCCACCCGGAGCTGCTGAGGCTGACAGGTCTAAACATAAACAGGTCCTTGGGCTTCTGCAACGGTCACTTACTTGGTCCAGGGTCTGCATTTGTCCGTGGATGAAAAGACATCTGAGAAGAAGCCGAGGAGGCAGGGTGTGCACACCGTGTCCATGTTGAGCTGCACTGTCACACACACATACAAAAAAAGTGCCAACAAATAAAAGCAAGGAGACACTTAGAGATCGGCCAGGACGGTGTCCCTGAAGCATTATACCCATCTTCCCAGTGTCTGCCTGGCCACCTGTATCTCCTGCCTTCAGCTCCTCCAGGCTCGGGTGGAGGAAGTGCTTACAGAATTATGTTCAGAAACTGGCTTCACATCAGGCCATTGAGATTACATCTGATGTCCAGCTAAGTCCAACTCTGCCTGATCTTTTACTGTTCAGAACCACTGTCTTAGGCTTCAACACATTTCTCCGTCAGGGTTGTGTGACTAAATTTTGCTGTCTTGCTATTTCCAGCCTTCATGGCTGCATCAGCTTTCATCTGCAGGTGACATCTCTGTCTTTAAGGGAAATGTGTCCTTCTAAAGCCAAGATATTTCATTACTCCAAAATCGGCAGGGGGTGGGAAGTGTGCGGGATTAATACTTGAAACACTTCTGGTCTCAAGATATGGGTTATACGACACTATTCACTACAGAAGTTATTATTTCAAAAGCCAGAATAGCTGAAATGCCTGTCAGCTGCTGACTTATTAAATACATGACGGAACACTGCACAGTGAAATGATCAGCTTCATTTCACCCGGCTAAGGCATGGTAACTACACTTTTCCCCCCCAGAGGAACTTCATAAGTCTCTTCCTCCTAAACCAATGATTGGTGTCGAGTTTTTCTACCATGCCTGACATAACTACCTTATGCCTTTTATGCCTAGGGCCTCTGCTGTGATTGCTCACAGCACAGAAGTAGCTATAGACAATATGTGAAGCAAATGGATTGGACTGTGTCCTAAGAAAACATAAATGCAAATGACAATATAATAGGATCTTGCCTTCATCCACAGTACTCAGAGCAGAAGCTGATCTTGGCTAGTTTGATTCAGCTCTTAGATTTCTCCTAAGTTAAATTAGCGACATAAGAGATGCCTCAAGCTTTCTGTGACTCCTGTCTTTATTGCAAGTGGCACATGACGATTTGGTAGGCACAAATGAACAATACTGACTACAATGTGAAACCAACATCAGGCCATTGGCTGGTGTCAAGCCTGAAAAAGACTGTTGAAATTAGTAGCACTTCAACATTTTATTTTCATGAATACAAACTTAAAATAAGAAATTAAATTTCTTCGTACATGCCTGATAGGAAGTATATGTTTGATTTCTGTAATTTGGCAATAAATAAGATACATTGCCACAGTAATGAGGCAGTGTGACTGGCTAGGAAACAATTCTAACAATGCCAGGATCATTGACTAACTAACATTAATTGAAACAACATTTTAAAAGATGAACACAGGGGCTAGAGTTTGTTTCCCAGCACCCACATCAGTCAGCTTACAGCTGCCTGTAATGCCCAGCTCCACGGATCCATTCAAGAACTCTGGCCTCCTCCGGCACTAGCTTTCACACACACACACACACACACACACAAAGTTTTGCTGTTTTTTTTTTTTTAAGATGAACAAAGGGTGAGATAAAGGTGCTTGACCCCAGGTCTGATGACCTGAGTTTAGTTCTTGGGACCCACATGATGAAGGGAGAAAATCAACTCCCACAAGTTGTCTGACCTCCACAAATGGGGTGTGGCATGTACACACACACATATACAACTAAATAAAGTTAAAAATTAAAAAATAACAGAGTAATGCAATCTAGAAGATTCTGAGAAGGGTTCAGGGACATCACTTTCCATACACCTGACTTTTACGTGATTCTTGTTAACTCTGACCCACTAGCAGTATCCTGAAGGCTTCTTTCCCTTCTCCCTTTCATAACCAGGCTTCTCACACTAACACAAGAACTTACACTTCTATCTGCCACACTAGGTTTTATTCAGTACTGGGGACCAAATCCAGGGCTCTGTGCATGCTAGGTGAGTGTTGTACGAACTGACTAAGACATCCCCAGTCTTAAGAACGAATCCATTTACCTCTCATATCCACCTCCTGTCAAAAATGTATCATTTCCAAGGGTTCAAGGCAGAGAGAACTGTAAGGTCTCAAATCCCAGACAAAATCTAACAGGTGCCTGTTAATAGATCAAAGTTGATGCTGGCCGCCAGCAGTTTCTCCCAGCATCCTTCTGTCCCTTATCTGTTACTTGGTCCTCCTGGCTAGCACGCCTCATCCCCTACCCTGAACTCTCCAACCCAGAGGCTGGGCTGCCCTTCCCCCAGAGGCTCTTCCCTATATTTTTCAGTCATTTTGGCTACATTGGCCCTTTTTTTACCCTTTTACCCCCCTCGCCTCTAGGTCTCCTGGCTCTCCTCTCCCCCTTCTCCTCACATGGCATGGCTCAGGGTCATGTTCACTCTGTGCTCTTCCAGACAGATGTCTTTGCCTCTGACTATACGCTCCCTCATATCTACAATAAATCTTCTCCTCCACCATGCCTAGGAACAGTCACGCCCTCCTTTTTATTTTTTTAATTTTTCATTCAAGAACATCTTCCAGAAATCATAAAGGCAGTGCCCTAGTTCACAAAGGTGGTAAATTTGTGGCTAAACTGGGCCCTGTCTAATCTGGGAGCAGAATTTGGTGGGAGCTGACCATGGTAGAGAGGGTTGTCATTACTGATTGAAAACTCTGTTGACTTTTCTGAGAGCGCACGTGCAGGTGAGTCAGAGTGCTGACGCAGAGGCCCACCGCATCAGTCAGATACCTTCTTCCACGTGGATTCAAATGAATAACATTTTAGTTTTCCCAGCCCTGTCCACGTATGCCGGCTTTAAAGTCACGTCTTTAAGTGAACGACTGGCAAGCATAAGCAACCGTTTGTTGCACCCTGAAAACCTGCTTTGTGACACTTCCGAGAAGCTGGGAGCGTGAAGGGCTCTCAGAAGCGCTTTCACAAGTCGAGAGGATTTCTGCTTCTTTGCTTTCAACAAAGCTGAAGGACACAATGGAGAGTTCTCAGATGACAGAACATTAAAAATAGCCCCAACTTCACATCACTTTGTGAGGGAGGATGTCACTCAGAAGGTGCTGGGGTGGGGAGCTGTAAGTGTTCCTCAGCAGCTACATTAACAGCTCAGAAAGTGAACTAGAGTGAACTCTGTGTGATAACTTGTAACACTGGTGATATAGTCAGCCCAAATATGAACATTGGGGGCAATCCTACTCTAAATTCAAGAGCTGTGAACTTTCCTAACTCTAAGAGTTTAAAAAACATACGTTCTTGTGGTCAATTATATAGTAACGAGCATGGTGACAGGTCAGACAGGAAAAAAAGCCTCATTTCACCCTGTGAACCCAAGTCAATTTAAGCTCTTTGTTGTTGTTGTTTAACAGATTTCAAATTAGTCCTTACTCTTACTTGAAGGGTTATGAAGTGGTGGTTGGGACCGGCTTTCCAAACGAAGAGAAGGAGGTAATGCTGTGTGGACCAACGCCAGCAAAGAGAAGCAAGCCGGTGAACGTTCCAAGAGCCGGGTTAAGTAGTGGTGGGGAGAGAACAGCTTTCACAGTCCAGTGACTGGTGTGCGCGGGTGGAGGTCAGAAGAACTCTGGTGTCTGTCTTCAGGGGTTTTTGTGTTAGTCCAAGTCTCTCAGGAGCCTGAAGCTTTGCCTGGGTTAGCTGGCCAGCCTGCTCGGGGGATCCATGTGTCCTGGCTCCCCCTCTTGCTGGAGCTAGGATTAGCTTTTAAATCTGGGTTCTTGGTATCGCGCTTAGGTTCTCAAGCTTATGAAGCACCATGCACTTTATAGGACGGAGACATCTCCCCAGCCCTCCATTGCCTGCTTTTAAAGTGTTATTGCAGCTATCATTCCTCAAGAGCTAACTAAGTCTTTAGGAACTCTTTAAATTTGAAATAAATATCTGTAGCTATCAATTTACAACGTGTCCAGAGGTGCGTGCCCCCTTCTAAGAGGCTGCAAACTTTTTAGTGCCTTAGCATTATGCTGTTTGTTACTTAGTGGGGACCCTCGGGTTTCAGAGACTGAGGCCCATTGCCACAAAGAGGAGGGAGGGGTAAGGGAATTTGGGGTGACTGTCCATGTGCTGTTGAAGCTGGGCTAAACTGGTTTTTAGTCCACTCTGAGGTTCCTCAGAGCCAGCTGGGCTCCCTGGAGCACCTTTGACACAGTCATGACAAAGGGCAGGGGTTAACGGGAGGGCTCCGTAAGAGAGTGCACACACGCACACACACACACACACACACGCACGCACACGCATCAGTGCCGTACAAGGATGCTGGGCTTCGAAGCCTGGCGCACACTCCATGTTGCGGCGGCAGCACTCGCAGTCTGTGTTCCAGTGGTAGCCGGCCGTGCATGCGCAGCGCCGTGGGGCCGTGCGGTTGCCAGGGTCCACCGCCACCAGGGCCTTGCCTGCGGGAAACAAGAGATGATCAGCATCAGCGGCCAGCAAGGGGCAGGAGACACAGACGCACTGTCCACCCAGTGCATGGTCCCCACCCAGCTCCAAACTGCCCGCAGGGCAGCCAGCTGCATCTGGCTGCCAACAGGGTGACTCACTGGGTTTGAGGAACTCCAGAGTTCCTTCCTGTACTTCCTTGTTGGTAGGGAACCGTCCAACACAGCCTTTTTTCCCCTATAATCAGGAGCTGTGTGGGCTCTCTAGAGTTTTGTGTTAGTAGGTTTAATTATTTGTGGAATTGCACAGCTGTTCGCAGCTGCTTGATGCTGTTTATTTATTTGTTTGTTTATTGCAAATTCAGATGTCACACAAACTGTTAAGCAAAGTTTAGAAAGACCTAGAGGAGTTTCTGGGGATGTGAGTTCATTCTGAGGTCCTGAAGGGCTCTGGGGTGCTCAGCCAAGAGGACGAAGCACAGAAGCAGGCAGCAGTCTGTCTGTCCTACGGGTCAGAGTCACATACACAGACACACACAGACACACAGACACACAGACACACAGACACACACACACACACACACACACACACACACACACACACACTTCTCTTCCCAATAGATGGAAAGAGCTTGCCTTCTTACTCTAATTTTCCAGTTTCTCTCATTTTTCTTGAATATGGGAACTTAATTACATAGTAAACTGAGTGTCTAGCAGGCACAATCATTCTTGTTGTGCAGAGTCACATGAATTTCCTTGTTCACTACAATTTCTATTGACACTGGAAGTGTATTTGCAGTCATTCCTGGACATGGGTAGGAGTCATTCTACACAGGGGCCTCTGTGTTCAGGTCTCAGCTTTCATACAGAGTGATTTTCTTCCTCCTTCTCTCTGCCTCCCCACCTTCCAGTATAGTACTGGGGATTGAAACGACAACTCATGCCTTCCAGTAAAGCATTCTCCCACGGAGCTGGGTTCCCAGCCTAAATGCCTATTCCTGCTGCAGTCTGTCCAATGCACTTTTCTCATTTTTGTGCTCTTATTTGGCGATGTCCTTATTTTAAATGGCCCCACGTGTAGTGCCGTCTTGTGTTCTACACACAAGAAGGCAGTGATGTGCCCTGCCCAGAAAACGTGGGATATAAAGTCTGTGTAAGTTTGAGTAGTGTGCTGGGTCAGCAAAGCCTATGTGGCGAACAGTGAAACACACAGGACAAGGGGGTATGCGGATGTGATAAAGGCCTCTGAATGGGGGCTCGCAGGAGTCTAGGCCGGGATTCGCTTAGGAGCAGTGAGTGATTCCAGACTCACAAACTCAATGGTTGTGGTGACTTCATAGAATGCAGCTACTGCGAACAAGGAAACTCAGTTGTACAGGTGTGCACACGCAGGTGACATGAAGTCATAACATTGTTTACATGGCCTAGGTGGCTTACTGGTTAAGAGCCCATGGTTTCCTTGCAGAGCATAAGTTCTATTCCAGGTACCCACATCCTGCAGCTCATTCCTGCCTCTAACTCTAGCTCCAGGGGATTTGGTCTTTTTTTTGGCCTCCTTGGGCACCTGCACACATGTACATACCACCCCCTATCCACATACACATAATTAAAAATAAAATGAATCTTTAAAAGGTAACAATCAAAAATGGGGGAAAACCACCCTGTGAATGCTGAAAGGCCCCATCTCATCTGGATCTTCTACATGGCTCTTGTACCTTAACTTCCAAGGGGAAAAGAGACAGGGAAAAATCAAACCAGTTTCTTCCTTCATTGTCTCAAGTTATAGCTGATTAAGAAGGGACATTCCTATTTTTATGCTTTTCAGACTCAAGCATGAGCCCATTTGCCCTTGTGCCCACTGCCAAAACCCTTGCAGCACAAAGGGCAGTTGTGCAGAAACATATATGTGGTACATGTAATCATCACAAAGGAGCACACACCACTTTTTTGCAAAATACTACAGGATCCTGTGCAAGTGTAAGCGAATGGGGGTGGCAACAATTTCAGAACAATCTGATGTGTTCAGTGTTCAGCTTTAATTTTGGCAATAGACAGAATGAATCCTTTTTTCCAACAGACAGCAATGAGTCAAGGTCATCAAAGGAAATAAAAAGACTTGATCAGATGCTTGTGCCCAGTGGAGTTTCCACAGTACTTTCTCCAGCCTCAAATCTGCCAGCTGTCTCAAACACATAAGAAGAACGATAGTGTTCAGAAATGCTTATTTCCTAGCTGTGCTCAATTGGGCATATCCTGTGAGGATTAAGTCACTAATAATGGTGCCCCTTACCACCAGCACTAGATACAGTGTCCCACCAGGGGACAGAGAGATGGCTCAGAGGTTAAGAACACTTGCTGCTTTTACAGAGTTCAGTTCTCACTACCCTCATCAGAAGGATCTGTTGTCCTCTTCTGATCTTCTTGGGTGCAAAGTGTGTGTGTGTGTGTGTGTGTGTGTGTGTGTGTGTGTGTAAGAACGGCCTGGTCTCACCTCAGAGTGGTGTGATAATCTGACCACCTACAGTGTCTGCAACAAACTGCAGCACCTCAGACACAACTGCATTCATGAATTCACCATGTTGATGCAAATGCTTGGGAGGGGCAGAGGCAGGGGGGCAGAGGCAGAGGGGCAGAGGCAGAGGGGCAGAGGGACGGAGGGGCGGAGGGGCAGACGGGCAGAGCGGCAGAGGCAGAGGTGGGGAGGGGCAGAGGGGCAGAGGGGCAGAGGCAGGAAGATGGAGGCCAGGCTACATAGGAAGCCTCTATTTCTAAAAAATCAAGAGTTTGGGGATGTCGCTCAGTGGTAGATCATCTGGCCAGCAAGTGTAGGCCTTGGATCCCCACAACTGGGGAAAAAATATCCAACCCATACTTATCCCAGCAAATATTACAAAAATAAAATTCCCACTCTTATTTATCTGCACTATACTATGGATGAGACCCTAGCCAAAATAAACCAGGATTCTATCAGCCTTCACAATTTAATGTGCAATACAAGAAATACCAAGGAAAGACTATATAAATGACACCCAGGAGATGCGATCACTAAATCCACACCAGAAGCTCCACCAGAGGAACATGGGGATTCTTTAGTACTCAGAATAGAAAATGGAAAAGAGAGAGAAAAGAATCTCTTAGGGATTCCATGAGACATATTTATGTCTTGATTCCTAAACATAAGCTATATTTTTAAAAATGGAGCTGCACATGGAGATAGATTTCTGTAATTTCAGTAGTGAGTTCCAGGCCAACCTGAACTACAGAGTGAGATCCTGTCTCAAAACATATATATATTATTATCCTGCTCCCCTTCCCAAAATTATGGCAGCCTGTCGAAGCAATAGACTGCAACAATAAAACATTGCCTGTTTAGGGGAAAGTTTATAAGTCAAAAGATCAGTTTGAGTCCTGCTTCTCATCTGCTAATCCTGGGGAAGTCAGTCTCAGTCTCAATTTCTCTATCTTTAAAATGGGATAAGTATAGGATTGACTGACACAGACACACTGAACGCTGTGGCAACATTTTGTCAATGGTAAGATGTGTTCACAATTAAAGTGCAACGCATATTCTGGAACAGAAAGATGAAAAATTTTAACTTGAGGTACTGGAGACGTAAAACCATGAGCAGAACCTTTCCCTACCATGTTCAAAGGAAATGCAGTAGGCTTATTTAACACACTTCTATGGGACAAATGTAAGGAAGAAAGATGGAGGGTGCATCTGCACACCCCTGTGACCTGTGTCAGTGTGACCCAGGTGCATCTGCACACCCCTGTGACCTGTGTCAGTGTGACCCAGGTGCATCTGCACACCCCTGTGACCTGTGTCAGCATGTGACCCAGGTGCATCTGCACACCCCTGTGACTTGTGTCAGCATGTGACAGACCCAGGTGCATCTACACACCCCTGTGACCTGTGTCAGTGTGACAGACCCAGGTGCATCTACACACCCCTGTGATGTGTGTCAGTGAGACCCAGGTGCATCTGCACACCCCTGTGACATGTGTCAGTGTGTGACCCACCTGCATCACAGACTTTATGCAGCAAACATTTATCTTCTTCATTCCAGCTGTCCAAGTACTCGTCTGGGCCACAGGGCAGACACACACTGTCAGAGGTAGGAGTGCACTTAGAAGACAGGTATCTTCCTTAAACGGAGAAGACAAGGTGTCAATCAAAACCAAAACCATGACAATCAATGTGCTGATCAAAACTAAACAACAAAGCTGGGCATGGTGGTGCCCACCTTTAATCCCAGCACTCAGGAGGCAGAGGTAGATGGGTCTCTGAGATCCTGGCCAGCCTGGGCTAAGGAACAAGTTCCAGAGCAGCCAGGGCTACACAGAGAAATTCTATCTCGAAAAAACAAACAAATGAAAAGAAAAGAAAGAAAACTAGACAAGAGCAGACACTGAGCATGTGTGAGGCTCTGGGTTAAACCCCAGCACTGAATAAAGAAATAAACAGCAATCTCCTGGTCTGGTTTACAGAACCGGATCCAGGAAGGCTTCTAATTCATGTAATCTGTGAGATGGCGAGATGAGGGCACTCAGACTGTGAGTACAGCACCTGGGCTCCTCAGGCCCCTGCTGGTTGAAATACCCTGCCCCGGGTTTGCCGTGCCTACTGTTGCTCCTGCCTACGTTTGCTGTGACGAGGTGGTCTCTGTTTGTCTAAAGAAACAACCAATCAACCATCTTTTGCACTCCCAAACTCTGCTGACTGAGAAGAACTCAGGAATTAGGCTGTGCCCTGTAGGACTTAAGGGGTTTGCTGGAATGGCCAAGGGAAGAAGAGGGCTGAGGTAGAGGATTGTTTTTTCCCCTCCCACCTTCACCATGGGTAACTGGCTCACTGTGTTCTATGTGCACTATCAGCTAATAGCTAGTTTACCAAGCATTATACACCGGCACGTTTGCACACATGTGTGCACATATACACATGCACTTGACAAAAACATTGGCTCTGTGTCCTGTACATTCAAGAGCTATGTGTAACTGAAACATCCAAAGACCGTAGTTATAAAGGAACCCAGCTTCTGCGGCCCTCTCTCAGAGAGTGAGGACCCAGCAGGTTGGACTCCACATGTGGGGAAGGTGGTGGCCAGGCCCCTTTGTGTTTTTTGGCTGGTACATGGGAGAAGGTCTGTCAAGGGTTAAGCAATTCCAGTTTGGTTATTCTAAAATAAGATTTCTGTGCACATATTTTCAAGTGTCAGTTACACTTCATGTTTTACTAGGATGTGGTTTTAGGAAACCCTGATGTCTCAGGACAGAAAAAGGATCAGTTTCTGAAATTGCCTTTGATTCATAGGTGATGACATCTATTGAGGGAAAGCGTTCTGTCTTCCGAGTAGCAAACATCATTACATACCACTATCATGAAGGGTCTATGAATTTCTTCCTTCATCTCTTGTAACAGAAAAAAGAAAGAAAGAAAGCTAGAAAGCCCTGAGGTGCAGGGGTACCTGGTTCACATTTGCTGCAGCACCGTCCAAGGTGTTCATAATGCCTCTCACGGGTGCATGGAGGAGCAACCTGCAGGGTCACCTGAAAAGAAAAGTGACATCAGGAAGACACTGCACACAAATTATTCCTAGACAGCACAAACAGTGAATAGCTGGGCTGGAGAGATTGCTCAGTGGTTAGGGTTTTGCTGCCAAGGCCGACAACACACGAAAAAAGAGAGAACCAACCTCCAAAGTCTGTCCTCTGACCCCCATATGAGTTCACAAACACACAAAACAAGTTAATATAAGGAAAATGAATTGTCAAGTTGTACTTCTACAAAGTATATGAAAATACTATAAGATGCTCATGCTACCAACTTCTACATTTTCACTTTCCTAGGCTAGCCCATTTCCCCTAAGGATATATAAAACCAACCTTTTAGCACAGGGCTTGACCTGCTTAGATAGTTAAAACACTTTCAGTGACATAGAGTGGTAGGGAGAATTAAAGGGAATTTCTGTGTGTACAGAGAAGGTGAAAAATTCTGCATGAAAGACACTTAAGAAGTTGGCTCCAACCCGTCCCACCTCATCATCTTCCCTGTGGCCAGCCCCCCCACCCCCAAACTCTGGCAGACTCCATAGACCCAGGTATAGTCCACAACACTCAGAAGAAGAGCACCCCCTCCCCTGAACTCCACATTCTGATCTACACCTTTGGAAGAAGACTTCAGCTCTATCAGAGGTCAGGATGGATCTATGGGCCCAAGGCCCCCAAAACCCTGGTGGAGACACTCTACTGGACCTGAAGACTGGCCAGTCACCACTTAGGCCAGAAGACCAGAGAAGAAACAGAAAACAAAGGAACAAAACACCCATCCAGCGAAGACAAGCACAGGAATCAACACCTAGACCTATAATCATCCCAAATCCAGATGCCTAAACACCAGTGTAAGAACACAATCAATAAAAGAAAGGGCAATATGGCATCACCAGAACCCAGCAAGACCTGAACATTCCAATGCAGTTGAAGCACAAGAAAATAAATTTAAAAATAACTTTATGAAGATGATAGAATCCTTAAAGAAATGAAATGAAATGAAAAATCTCTTAATGAAATTGAGGAAAAGACAAACAAAAAATGGAAGAAATCAATACATCCTTTAAAATTCTAAGAAAGACAAGAAAAAAAATAAACAGGTTCAAGACTTGAAAATGGAAATAGAAGTAATAAAGAAAACAAAAACCAAAGGAATTCTGGAAATGGAAAAATCTAAGAAAGCAAACAGGAACTACAGATGCAAACATTACCAATAGAATACAAGATGGAAGAGAGAATCTTGGGTGTTTAAGATATGATAGAGGTAATAGATTCATCAGTCAAAAAAAATGTTAAATCTAAAAAATTCCTAACACAAAACATCCAGGAAACCCGGGGCAGTAGGAAAAGACCAAATATAAGAAAAATAGAAATAGAAGAAGGAGAAGAATCACAACTCAAAGATTGAGAAAATATACTCAACAAATCATAGAAGAAAAATTTCCCAACCTAAAGAAGGATATACCTATAAAGGTACAAGAAGCTTACAGAACACCAAATAGACTGGACCAGAAAAAACTCCCCTCACCACATCATAATCAAAACACTAAACATACAGAATAAAAAAAATATTAAAAAGCTGCAAAGGAAAAAGGTCAAGTAACATATAAAGGCAGATGATTAGGATTACACCTGACTTCTCAATGGAGACTGTAAAAGACAGAAGGGCCTGAACAGCTGTCTTGCAGATACTAAGAGACCACAGATACCAGCCCAGTCTCTATACCCAGCAAAACTTTCAATCATAATAGATGAAGAAAAGAAGATATTTCATGATAAAGTCAAATTTAAACAATACCTGTCCACAAATCCAGTCCTACAGAAGGTACTAGAAGGAAAACTCCAACCCAGGGAAGTTAGCTGCACCCACGAAAACAGAGGCAATAGATAATCTCACATCAGCAAAACCCAAAGGAGGAAAACACACACACACAACCACCACCACCACCACCAACAAAAATAACAGGAATTAAAAATCACCGGTCATTAAAATCTCTCAATATCAATGGACTCAATTTGCCTATAAAAATACATAGGCTAACAGAATGAATACAAAAACAGGATCCATCCTTCTGCTGCATAAAAGAAACACACCTCAACATCTAAGACAGACATTACCTCAAAGTAAAGGGCTGGAAAAAGATTTTCCAATCAAACAGGCCTAAGAAGCAAGGTGGTGTAGCTATCCTAATATCTGACAAAATAGACTTCAAACCAAAATTAATAAAAGAGATGGAGAAGGATATTTCATATTCATCAAAAGAAAAATACACCAAGATGATGTCTCAATTCTGAACATACATGCCCCAAATACAAGGGCACCCACATTTGTAAAAGGAACATTACTAAGGCTTAAATCACACATCAAACCCCACACACTATTAGTGGGAGACTTCAACATCCCTCTCTCTCCACTGGACAGGTCTGCCAGACAGAACCTTAACAGAGAAATAAGGGAACTAACAGACATTATGACTCAAATGGACCTAGCAGACATCTATAGAACATTTCACCCGAACACAAAAGAATATATCTTCTTCTCAGCACCTCAGAGAACCTTCTCCAAAATTGATCACATATTTGGTCATAAAGTAAGTCTCAAAAGATACAAAAAAAAAAAAAATGGAATAGTCTTCGGATTTTTTTTTTTTTTTTTTTTTTTTTGGTTTTTCAAGACAGGGTTTCTCTGTGTAGCTTTGCGCCTCTCCTGGAACTCACTTGGTAGCCCAGGCTGGCCTCGAACTCACAGAGATCCGCCTGGCTCTGCCTCCCGAGTGCTGGGATTAAAGGCGTGCGCCACCATCGCCTGGCAACCTCCGGATCTTATTGGATCACCATGGATTAAAGTTAAAATTCAACAACAACAGAAACTGCAAAAAGCCTACAAGTTCATGGAAAATGATTAATGCTCAATAAATCACCACTGGGTCAATGAAGAAATAAATAAAGAAATTAAAGACTTCCTAGAATCCAATGAAAATGAATGCACAACACATCCAAACTTATGGAACACTATGAAAGCAGTGGTAAGAGGAAAGTTCATAGCACTAAGTGCCTGCATAAAGAAGTTGGAGAAATCTCACACTAGTGACTTAACAGCACACCTGAAAGCCCTAGAACAAAAAGAAGCAAAGTCACCTAGGAGGAATAGACACCAGAAAATAATCAAATTGAGAGCTGAAATCAATAAAATAGAAACAAAGAGAACAATACAAAGAATCAATGAAACAAAGTTGGTTCTTTGAAAAAATTAATAAGATAGACAAAACCTATCCAAACTAACCAAAGGGCAGAGAGATAATATCCAAATTAACAAAATCAGAAACAAAAAGGGGGGCATAACAGGATATAATGAGGAAATACAGAGAATCATTAGGTCATCCTTCAAAAACCTGTACTCCACAAAATTGGAAAATCTTAAAAAAAGAGGCAAATTTCTTGATAGATACCACATACCAGAGTTAAATCAAGACCAGATAAACAATTTAAATAGACCTATACCCCTAAAGAAATAGAAGTAGTTATTAAAAGTCTCCCAACCAAAAAAAGGCCCAGGGCCAGGTAGTTTCACTGCATAATTCTACCAGACTTTTAAAGAAAAACTATACCAATATTCTTCAAATTATTCCACAAAATAGAAACAGAAGGAACACTGCTAAATTCTGTTTATGAGGCCAGTCACCCTGATACCCAAACCACACAAAGACCCAACAAAGAAATACAATTACAGACCAATTTTCCTCATGAACAATGATGCAAAAAATATTCAATAAAATACTGGCAAACCTAATCCAAGAACACATCAAAAAGATCAAGTAGGCTTCATCCCAGAGATGCAGGGATGGTTCAACATATGAAAATCTGTCAATTAAAGTCACCATTTAAACAAACTGAAAGAAAAAAAAACACATATTCATCTCATTAGATGCTGAAAAAGGCTTTGACAAAATTTAACATTCCTTCATGATAAAAGTCTTGGAGAGATCAGGAATACAAGGAACATACTTAAACATAATAAATTCAATATACAGCAAGCCTATAGCCAACAGCAAATTAAATGGAAACTCAAAGCAATTCCACTAAAATCAGGAACAAGACAAGGCTAAGGCTGTCCACTCTCTTATATCTATTCAATATAGTACTTGAAGGTCTAACTAGAGCAATAAGACAACAAAAGGAGATCAAAGGGACAGAAATTGGAAAGGAAGAAGTCAAACTTTCACTATTTGCAGATGATATTCTAGTATAGATGAGCAATCCCCAAAATTCTACCAGAGAACTCCTACAGCTGATAAACACCTTTAGTGAACACCTGGATACAAAATTAAAAGAAAAAAATCAGTAGCCTTCCACTAAATAAAGGATATAAAAATCAGTAGCCTTCCACTAAATAAAGGATATACGGGCTGAGAAAGAAATCAGGAAAACAACATCCTTTACAATAGCCACAAATAATATAAAATATCTTGGTGTAACTAAGCAAGCAAGTGAAAGACCTATATGACAAGAACTTCAAGTCTTTGAAGAAAGAAATTGCAGAAGATATCAGACGATGGAAAGATCTCCCATGCTCATGGATAGGTAGGATTAACATAGTAAAAATGGCCATCTTACCAAGAGCACTCTACAGATTCAAAGTAATCCCCATTAAAATCCCAATTTCTTTACAGGCCTTGAAATAACAATACTCAACTTCATATGGAAAAACAATAAACCCAGGATAGTCAAAACAATCCTATATAATAAAAGAACTTCTGGAGGTATCACCATCCCTGATTTCAAGCACTAATACAGAGCTATAGTAATAAAAACTGCATGGTATTGGCATAAAAACAGAGAGTTTGATCAATGAAAGTGAAATGAAGACCCAGACATAAATCCACACACCTATGGACAACTGATTTTTGACAAGAAATCCAAAATTATACAATAGAGAAAAGGCAGCATCTTCAACAAATGGTGCTGTCACAATTTTATGTCATCACACAGAAGAATGCAAA